GTACTAGAGTGCCGCCTGCGCCATCGACTCAGGAGAGTCACTTGAGCTGAAGCGAATGCGACAGATCAGAGAAAAGACGAATGTAACGAAAAAACGAGCTAATGTAATGGAGGAAACTCCAGGACATAAAAGGCGACGGCTAAAACAGACCCCAAGCCCAGACCCACAAAGAGACGGTACAAAAGACGACAGACAGACACAGAAGTCGAGGATCGGAGTGTCCCAACCTGAAAACCAGGCGCGGGACCATTCTGATCAAGCCGGCGGAAGGACAACTGTACGCCGATGTCTTATGGACTATCAGACAGAAGGTAGACCCCAAGACAGAGAAGGTAGACGTTTGGACGATTAGAAAAACCAAGGACGGTGCTGTATTAATGCGGTTGGAAAAGTCGCAAGGACAGGACTTCCAAAGTACACTTCATAAATTATTAGGACAGACTGCGACAGTAAAAGACTTAACTTCCACGGTGACGCTGGAGTTTGCTGACTTGGACTGCGTTATGACGGTACAGAACATCGCGAACGCGATAAATCAGGAACTAAATACGGACTCGGAGCGGAAAGTGCATCTCTTTGCGCCAAACGCATGTGGGAATACGCGAGCCGTTTGCGAGTTCGACACGACGGAAGCAACGAGACTGATGGGCAGGGAACGCATCAAAATAGGATGGATGAATTGTCGAGTTCGACTACGCATTCATCCTCAAAGATGCTTCAACTGCCTCGGGTACGGACATACGCGGAGAGAATGTAAAGGGCCGGACAGAAAGAACTGCTGCATGAAATGCGGACAGACGGGTCACGTGGCAAGGAGTGTAAAAACACTACTGACTGCTTCCTCTGTAAGGGGATAGAAGGACAGAACCTGGCCCACTTGCCTGGATCAGGCGGGTGCGCCGTATACAAAGCAGCACTGATGGAACTGAAGACGAAACAGAAAAAATGACCCTGACGATACTACAATGCAATGTGAACAGGAGTAGCGTAGCACACATGCTCCTCCCTCAAATTGCGATGCAGATGAACGCAGACGTGGTTGTTATAAGCGAACGATACAGGAACAGACCTGAGCCATCGTGGTTCGCTAGTAAATTGAACTCGACGGCGGTGTGGGTACGCGGAAACGAAGCGATGCGAGTCTCGGCAAGCGGATCCGGGGCGGACTATGTTTGGGCACTGTCGTTATCGTCAGTGTATATCTGTCACCGAAATATTCCGCGTTGGAGTATGCCAACAGACTCACAGATATCGAAGACGCAGTGAGAAATATATCAGGAAATACGATCGTGGCGGGCGATTTTAACGCGCGGGCGATTGAGTGGGGTATGTCCACGACAAACAGACGCGGACGGCTAAGGACGCGAGTGTCAAGCTTTTAGTTCCGCTCTCCCTGAGCATTGAACTTTGAAAAGATCGGTACTTTTCTCGAGGAGGTCGCCGCCTTAGATTAAAAAGGCTCAGACTCACTGTGTGCGTCAGGAATGTCGTAACAAACTTGACTTCCGGATCTCCAAAGTGTTTGAAAGCGAAGAAGTGAAAGACAGTGTGCTATGCCAACCTATTGGCGCCCAGAGAGGGGTGGTAATGTTTGATTATGCTGTGCCACCCTCAAAACGGAAAAGTGCGAACAACGCATACACTAACTGTAGTTGTAATAAATATTGAACGACCATTGATCAGAAACTCATATGAATGAAACTTATTCTAACTTAGTAAAAGTTATGTGTCTTGGACAATGTTTACAAGTTGCGCTTTAGGTGAGTAAAGTTCTGCATGTACTATCATGCAGAAAACGCACTCAAAAAAGTTTTATATTTTTTAAGCTTTATTGCAAGGGATCATTATTTTTAAGTCCCATCAACCACTACATACGAAAATTAATTTTCGCATAACTAAATCATACCAATATCCTAAAGTTTGCACATGATGGGAAATGAAATTACTTGTATAATCATTAAAAGTAACGAACAACTGTACAAAGGTTGTATACAGCATTTACGTTTTCGTCAACTTTTGTGAAGTGAAGAGCTTGTTGCATCATATTACATAGTAATCTGTGTTACCCTAAGGCTTCTTTTCGAGTGAGAGTAATATCGCAACTTGATAGTAATGATAAAATGTCCATATTTGGCCGTGCCCCGTACATAACAATTAATTATAAAAAGCGATTTCCCATTCAACAAAGTAGTTCAAATGCTCAGGACGCATACGCGAATTGTAAGCTTTAAAACTACAAAATGAATAAATAATGCTTGTTTTACAGAAACTTTCAACATCGATATCTTGACAAATAATCAATATTTTTATGAAGTAATTGCTCGAAAAAACTGAACTTTGGCTAATTTAATTGAACCTACTTTACTTTTTTGAAAATGTTAGTATTAATATCAAATAATTAATAAAAACGATTTTCCATTCAGCAAAGCAGTTCAAATGCTCAGCACGTACGCACGAATAATTAATTTTTTTATTACGAGGGTGGTCCGATAAGTACTTAGCCTCACCGCCCGATGGCGCCACTCTCGCAAAAGAAATATTCTATCACGTAGTACAACCTTCTAGATGGTTACTGTCAAGATTTCAGCCGGATCGGAGTTGTTATTTAGTCTATTTATTTTTGAGAGCGTGTGAAAGCAAGTGTGTCCGTTGATTTTTGAAAAATGGAAAAAGAGCAGTATCGGTCGGTGATTCGATTCTTGTTTTTGGAAGGGAAATCACGCAGCGAAATCAAAAAGCGCTTGGATGCTGTGTACGGTGACTCTTCTCCTTCGATGGCGACCGTCAAAAATAGGTTTAACGAGTTTCAACGTGGTCGCACGTCGATTTTGGAAGAGCCACGTCCAGGTGCTCCGAAAACGGCTACCACGGAGGATAACGTGACAAAAATTCACGATCTCGTATTGGCAGATCGACGATTGAAGGTGGGCGAGATAGCTAAGATCGTTGGCATCTCAAAAGACCACGTGGGTCATGTCCTGTATGAAATTTTGGGCATGAGAAAGCTGTCGGCGCGATGGGTGCCGCGTTTGCTCACTCCGGACAACAAGTGCAACCGTGAGACAATTTCAGAGCAATATCTGACGCTGTTTAAGCGCAATCGGAAGGAGTTTCTGCGTCGTTTCGTGACAATCGACGAAACATGGATCCACTGGTATACACCAGAGACCAAGGAACAGTCGAAATAGTGGACTTTACCCGGCGAAAGTGCTCCGAAGAAGGCGAAGACTGCCCCATCGGCCGGAAAGGTGATGGCCACCGTTTTCTGGGATTCACAAGGTGTGATCTACATCGATTACCTGGAGAGGGGCAAACCGGTCACAGGGCTGTACTATGCCGAATTATTGGGCCGATTCGACGTCGAATTGCAGAAAAAACGGCTTTATTTGGCGAAGAAAAAAGTGCTCTTCCACCATGACAACGCACCCACTCACACCTCCGTCGTTGCCATGGCCAAATTGGTCGTTTTTCTTTTGTAGGCTAAGTACTTATCGGACCACCTCGTATATTATTATAGTATTTACTGACGAATCAAATTCCGGCCGACAATTTTTGCTATAGAATTAATAGAAAAAAACTAAAAAATGTCACGAAATTTAATAAAAAAATGTCGTTAAAAATTTTTTGAGACTAACTTCGTGGGTAAGATTATTTTTTCCATGATGCAGACGTATTTTCCTGTCGTCACATTCAATAAAATCTCTATTAAAAAATTTCCTGGAATCATGTTTTTTGTCATAAACAGGCTGGAATATAACGTTTTATCGATCAATCGAATTCCATTTAACTCAATATCTTATTGTTTCTTTTCCAACTGCGAGGATAATCCATGAATTAATCTTCGCATTCTTGAATGTTAACCACTAAAAAGGTCAAGAATACTATTTTTTCGTAATTAAAATCAATTTTTGTAATATATTTTAGATAAAAAATGTGGTCTGCAATAGGATTGTTCAATTGTCACGTTGAAACGACATGAAGTGAATTATCGTGGAGGGGGTTAGAATTGAAAACTATTTTAACGATTATATTTAAATTCTTATTATATTTCAAATTATATTGAACTCTCATTGCTTATAATTAATAGTTGCATAGAAAGAAAAACAATTGGATTACGTACCACAGATGAAAAATTTACAGTTAGCAAATCGAAGAGATAACATGACAGAAAAAAAAGAAAAGATCATCAAAAAATACGACAAACAAAATTTATAAAGCAAATCAGTTCGGCTGGCGTTATTCACTTTAATATATATTCCCTGAGAACATTGCCTGTTACGGCGGATCGTTGGATTAAAGCCATCAAATTGATGCAGGTACGCATGTATCGTTCAACATAAAAGTTAGTAAAGAAGAACTACAGATCTTGTTGAATGCATACAAAATTCTCACGAGCCCCGGATTGTCAGTGGTAGGAAAGCTAGTATGCAAAATTTACTGATGTTGTTACAAGGTGCAGAACTTAAAAATCTGCATGTTAACGTGAAAATATTGGTATAAATATCTTTTTTTATAAAAGATGTCTAAGCAGGAAAACAACAGCCCAAACATAATCTTATTAAATAAATTATATTGAAAATAATAAAAGATTGTTCGGCTTATTCAAAATAAATTATTGTTATTGTTATATCAAGAACTACGTTTGATTTGAATATTGCAGAGGTTCGCTGGATATCTGTATGCAAGAATCTTGATTTTTTTAAATCATGAGTGGCATGCAATCAACCTCTTCATCACTTTTGGAAAGGATGTAGAAAGAGAATTTTCACATACATTGTGTCTGGACCTATATTTTGAGGTGAAATTTGAATTACCAAGAATTATGGAACAGTCACATAAAAATTTCGTTTAAAAAAATTTTATTATTTTATTAGGTGTTACTAAATTTTTAAATATTTATTTTTAAAATTTTTTATATCATCTAATATTATTAGTCATTATTTTTAATCAATTTTTTTTACTATTTTTAAAAAACTATAATTTCTTAGAATTAATCTTACCTTTTTAAGTCCATTAATTCTTTTTCACTCCTAGCATATTTCATTACAATTTTTTCCTTTTCCAATTGACAATTTGTATAGATTTTAGAGAGAGAATTATATTTGGCACCTGTGGCATCTAGCTTATTTGAAAAATCAAGACATTTTAAACAAATTTCAGTTGTGTTAATGTTGTCACCATAATTAGACTTCAATTTCAATTGCAATAATTTATCTAGAAGTGCGTTGTTTATACTTTCTAGACGATCGTTATCATGTATTAAACGAAAGAAGATGATGATTAATTCTAGTATTTTTCTATGTAGTTTATCACTATTGCTACCGATTGGTTTTCTTATTTGTAGCTGTAATTTCTTGGTCTTTATCAAGCTTAAATTGTTGACAATGAGAAATGATTCGTATAATATTTTCAATGTTTGAAAAATATTTACATCGGGTAAACTAAATTTATGGTCTATATAATTATTTATGCATTCATTATAATAAAAATTATAGCAGTCGATGCTTAGGAAAATGACATTATTAAATTGAAGTTTCAAAACACAAGTACTATGAAAAACTGTGTCGTATTTGTCAGTTCTATTTTCGTTTGAAATGAAGAATTTTGCTAATGTTGATTCCATCGTGTATATACATACACACACACACATATATATATATATATATATATAAGTATATATATATGTCAGTTCGAAGTTCAGGATATAAAATATTGCTTTTGCTCTCGCCTTTTCCTGAAAAAATAAATAAATTAAAAATAGTTTCACTACTATACTATACAACTCTACTATTTTGTAATAGTACTATAAAAAGTATTCTACATGGTACAGTAATTAAGATTTTAGCCTCTCACGCCGAAAACTACGATCAATTTCTAGTCGCTACCGATGACAACATTTATACGCGGAAAACTGTTCTGTACATCATATGCGAGATCGTGGTTTGATTATTTATTGAATAAAATGCTCTATTAGTTACGTAAATCACAAGCAATGAACTATAAGACAAAGTACTTTAAATAGTTGCTATTTTTGCCTGAAAACGGATACTTGCCAGAGTCTAAAGTAATTTATGGTGTGGTTTTCTTCTGTAGTTTTTGTGTTAAAAAATATTGCTCATTTTCCTTTGTACTGGTATCAGGTTGAAGACAATTTACCGGTATCTGTAATACGCAAATTAAAACGAATTTTTAAATAAATTGTGAGATTTCAATGTATCATTATAAAGTAAAGACATGAAAACAAAATAAATCTCGTATATCTAAAAATTTAGAAACATTACTACGAATAACACTTGAAGATAAATTTATACAGAAACAGTATTAGGATCAGTTCGCTTATAACTTAATGAGAGGACCTAGGTATATGGCCGTGGTAACTGGAGAAGTTGTTCACTTTATAAAGGGAGAATCAGATTTTTCAATAAAATGTTGCCCGCGACTATATTTACAAATTATTTACACAGGGATTTAGAAGGTAGAATGCTTTAACTACTAAATAACCTGTCGGGCATGCAGGTTGCGATGTTCGCATGTGAGGGAGCCTTACACGGGAAGAAGAAGTAATTTAAAACTTAACTACATAAATTACAAAGACCTGAAACCATCACTTTATTAAAATAACATTAAATATTTATATTAAAAAACAATAATAATAACAAATAAAATTACAAACAAAAGAAAATAGAAATAAATAGTCGCAATGTAAATAAGTTTTCGGGGCGAAGCGGTGTTTCCGGAGTGGTGATCAACCGTTGTGAAGCGGCAGTCCTATATAACAGACAACGGTGAGCCTCTCCAGCCATTCGGCCATCTGTTTTATTATAACTAAACATTATACTTATTATTAAGTTGTTGACTATAAAGAGCTTTGCACAAAACGAACATAAAATATAATAAACACTTCCATAGCATATAACAAATAGAATAATACATGAAAGGTTATCTCTGAAGAAAAGGGCCTAAGCTCAAAGAGGCTCCTTCTTCAATTTTTGGAAAACCCAGGCCCTTCTAATCTTTCGAGATAACACCTTTCTTCCAATAAGGCCACGAATATAAAGGCACTCCACAGATTAAGGAAAGAGACTTTTCATTTCCCTCGCCTCTCCGAGGTGATAAGCTAGCTGAGAGAAAAATCAAAAAACAGTCCAACGACACGACAAACTTTAGGAAGAAAGTCAAATCCAGAGAGAAGAATCCTAACTTCAAATTTTGAGAGCGCAAAGCTTTATTTATAAATTTATAAAATATTCCAAAACATAAATTTTCTTGAGAATATAAGTAAGTCAATTCTACAATATTCCTTATTTAAAAAAAAAGTCTTCATCTTTTCCAATTCCGAATCGAGTTTTAGCCCCGCCAGGTAGAAAGATCTGACTCAGACGTTTAATCAATATACAGGCTGAGGAAAAAGTATGGAAACCCCGGAAAATTCGGAAAACCGTATAAGGTTAGTCATGAAACAAAGGTCATACCGTAGTTACTTTCAACGATAAACCCAACGGTGTCCTCTGATTTGACCTTGAGCCTCATTTTCAAGGTTATTTCAAGGACAACCTTATTTTTTCATATGGGAACCCCTAATTTTTATACTGAAATCAAAAAGAGCGATAAATTTTACGGGTGGGAACGATTCAAGTCCGAAGATATCGTAACTCCTAATCCTCCTTTTAGCGCTATCCAGGAACAACGACGTGGACGTAGAAGGAATCTGTTCCCTTTGGGGTGCTTTTTATAGTGAGTTGCTCTTGCCTCTCACTTCGGGGTGCTTTTTTATTAATGAGTTAATTCACTATTAAAAAGCACCTCGAAGAGGACAGATTCCTTCTACGTCCACGTCGTTGTTCCTGGATAGCGCTAAAAGGAGGATTAGGAGTTACGATATCTTCGGACTTGAATCGTTCCTACCCGTAAAATTTATCGCTCTTTTTGATTTCAGTATAAAAACTAAGGGTTTTCATATGAAAAAACCATGTTGACCTTGAAATAACCTTGAAAATGAGGTTCAAGGTCAAATCAGAGGTCACCGTTGGTTTCCTCGTAAATTATTCCTAATAATTTAGTTCGTTCCGATAGTCGTGAAAAAAAAAAATTTATTTGAATTCATTAGAGTATTTTAGTTCGTGCATTTCAAAAAAAAAAAAAAAAACGGTCGTTCCAAAGTAAAGTCAATCGAAAATTTTTGCTACTAAGTTGGAGAAATTTTCCCTCATCGTATGCCAAATTTTGGATTCTTTTTTTTAGTGAATTCCGGATTAATAAAAAAACGATTGCCGAAAAATAAGAGGAAAGCTCGCGCCAGGGCACTTCAAAACCATCCCGACGGTCTTAGCAAAGAAGTTTATGAAAAATATAGATTCACATATGGCAAGTTATCGCAGACGTCGCCAGTATTAACACCCATATCACCTCCGAAAACAACTACAGTAGCCCTAAAAAGTATTGAAGAAAAATTAGAATATATTTGGGAAAGGATTTGCACCCACGGTAATAATCCCGAATATTGCTCGTCCTGTATCAGTGATTTCTCAGGTAAATTTAGAATACCGCGCAAGAGCGTGCAAAAGGACTGTCAGCTGAAAGAGGTGAATTTGAACATAACACCCGTAACTGACATCGAAAAATTATTATTCAGCAAAAATAAGAAGGATCGGAAGAAATATATTCAAATTCAGCGTACCAATTATTTAATAAAAAATTTACCAGCCGGATTAAAAGTCCCTCCTACTACCTCACTTAGAGCGAAATCAAAAAACCCCGGAAAAACAGCAACTTCATTGGAACAACAAATTTTAGATACGGAAAAGGAAATACAGAAGACTCGAGAAGAAATTAAGAAAATGAAAAAAGAATTTAACTTGTAATATTTTCACATATAAAAGAGAAAACGATTTATTGGCAATAAAATCTATAAATTGAATTTTAACCTATACTTTATTCCTTGTATTTTAGAAGCCCTTGTTTTCAAATGATTCCATTAGTTAGAACACCAGAAATTTCAGTTAATAATGCCCTACTTGAAGAAATAACGGTAGAAGTCCATGAAGTGGCAGATAAACAAATTGAGATAATTGATAACGTTAATAATATTTTAACCGTATAACGAATTTAATTCATTCGTTATGTCTCTCTCTTCTCACGCATGCATGTACACAATTCATATACTTATACTATATTTGAATTCACATTATATTATACAGCAGCCTGCAGCTGCCGACAACGTCGAAGTGTAAGGTAAGAGAGAGAGCCCGGCATGTCTATCAGCGAGCCTATAAGCAGAGAGAGTCGCGTCCGCGGGTACGCGCATATGCGTGTGGTCGCGCTACCGAAAAGTGCGATGAAGGAGTGGGGACGCCTCCCGCGGCAATTGACTGGCGGACGTAACACGGGCGACACGTGCTTGAGCGCGCGCTAAAGGATTTGCCTTTTTTTTGCGGGTTCGGACTTCCGACACGGCATTGCCTTAGATTATCCGCGAGTGCGTGCAGTGGTGCGACGCCTTGACACGACGGCGTGTGCGTGCAAGGACGTAGTGCTAGGTAGCCCACATTTCGTCACCACTGCAACCGGCGTCCGGGAACGCTGTTCAGCGAGCGAGCGTTTACCGCATGGAGGGCCTGGCCATTGACGCCTCATTGTAAGTACCGGCTCGATTAGCTCTCTCTCGCTTGCCCGCTCGCTTCTCTCTCTATCTTTACCGATTTACTACTGTACGCTTCCTTCTTAATAATTTATATAAATTATCTTTATCCTTCGTATTATCTGCGTTTCTTTGACTTCGCGCCCGACTCCCACTCCCAATCCTTGGCGAATTCTCTGCGCTCGTCACTACTTTTCGCGCTTTCCAGCCACCACTACCTGCGACGCTCTACGCGGGCCACGAGGCTGCTTGACATTGCGGCTGGTTGAAAGGCTTGGCCACACATACACCAGCGTACTAGCTCCGTGGCATTAGTAACTGATTAAGCCGAGCTGTCAATTAATCTATCCTCTCGATTATAACGGCGGGTTAGCCAAAACCCCGTTATAACCGATAGATTACCTAGTATTCAAGCCGAGTTTGTAAAAATTGCTGAAGTTATAGAGTCACATAAAAAAGGGATTAATTTAAATATTAAATGTGAAAATATACTTAAGGATAGAATAGACGAAATAGATAAGACCGTAGAAACCGACTTCGCTCATTTGCATCGCCTAAATAATCAAGTTGCCCAACTAAAGCTTGAAAATAGTGTTTTAAACAAAAAGCTTGCGAAATCTCATAAACTTATTAGACAACATAATAGAGTTTTAAGTGTAATTACTAATAATTTTGATTTTAAAATCCAAGAATTGTGCTATTTATTTGATAAGCTTTCGCTCGGAGTATAATCTGCCCTATTTACCTTAATGAGAATTTTACTCAATTAGAAGATCGTGACAGTATAAGAAGTACTTCGACAACACCTGAAAGAACCGATCAGGATCTAAACCAAAAGTTAATTAGTCCGGGCCCGAGTGAGATTAATTCAGATAAAATTGTAACTGAAAACCAACCAATAGATATAAATCAGAAAATTAAGAGTTCAAAACAAAAGCTACAATCTATTATAGATATCCCACCCTGTAATAACTCGCAAACTACTAAAATAAGTGAAAACGAAAAAAAGGAAGAAATACCTACTGTCCACGGGCAGGTTGTGTCATTGAAAGACGCACTGAACGTTATTCCGCGATTTGATGGGAAACCTGATCAATGGACTCGATTTGCAGAAGGATGCAAGGAAGCCTTGGCAATGATCCCGAAACCAATAGAAGGTAATTTAGTAAAATTGATAAGGTCAAAATTAGAAGGAGAAGCTAGAGATACAGTAATTGGAATTAATTTCGGAACTCTAGATGAATTGCTAGAACATCTAGTAGATATTTTCGGATCTGCCCAAACGCTTAGTCAGCTTTTAGGTGAATTAGGAAATGAATTTCAACATGATGACGAAAAAGTATTAACTTTCACTAATAGGCTGCGACTACTATCGACAAAAATCATCGAATCAGTCACGAATGAATATAAGCATGCCCTGGAAGAGAATATCTTTGAATATTTTAAGAGAGGATTAAAATCAGAAATCAAATTAAATCTAGCTCCCGGAGTCACCCCTACAAATATACTAAAGCTCGCCATAAAA